ATAACTTTATCAGATTTAAATAGTCAGGTGTCTATCACATGCCTGAAGGGTTGGTTTTATGAAGTATCCAAGTCCATGTTTTCCTCAATTCATTCCCTCTACACTTTTGCCATTTATCATTATTGCACAATAAACGTTTGGAAAGGGAAAAAAAGTCTTCAAGTACCAAGAAGCCAAGATGGAAAACCATTCCCTGCTGGGAATGAACCACCTTCAGGTCCTTCCTGCAGCTCCCTGTGCTGGGAAAAGGCTGGAGAGAATGAGAGAAGGCAAGGCCTGGCAGCTGGTGGGCAGAGGTGGCTCTGGCAGGTGTTTCCTTGGATGTCTGTACGTGTATCCCTGCGAAAGGAACGTCTCTCCTTAAAAACACTGCTCAGGTTTGGATGGGAATGATTTACAAACTGCCAGGGAGGCTTCAGGTCTTGTTCCCAAACGCTGCAGTTTCGACTCAGGAAATGATTTCCAGGATTCCAAGGAGCTCATTTTCCCTTGATTTATCTCAGAAGGGACAAGGAATGTCAGGAGTGGCTCTGGAAGTGCCTTCAGGATGCAAAGCCATCAGGTAACAGATGGCAAACCGATGGCTCAGCACTCGGGAAATTTACTGACAGGAAACCCAGACTTTGGAAAAGTTAATTCCAAACTTTCTGACTAAGGTTGTTTAACAGGGTGGATTTTCAGATTGAAAAGGGAAAGACAAGCACTGGAGAGGGTTGGACTCTTGCACAAGGGAATCTGTTGGATGCCTCTTCCCACTGATCCGCTGAGTGTAGCAGAGAAGGAGCCAGGATGGATTTACCCTTTCTCCTCTCATTCCCTCACCAGGCTCCACCTTCCTTCCTGTTTTCCTTCCTCCCAGCAGGTCTGTGCTGGGAGGATACACTCCATCAGGATGGGGAATTCCACCTGACCCCTGATCCCACACAGCAGCCAAGTGCCACTGGCACTCTGGTGCCTCCCAGGGAACCCCCAGGATTGGGAGCAATAAACACATCCAGAGGCACTTTGGAATCCCAGTGCTTTCCACAGGTATTCAGGAATTCAGGACAGACTCCCCAGCTGCAGGGCTGTGTGTGCTGCCAGGCCTTGCAGGAGGTTTGGGCAGGGAATTCAACCCTGGAACAGCTGCAAAAATCTGTCTGGCATTTCATCCCAAATTTAGTTTCTAGTGGAAAGCCAGGGAGCGTGGACAACACCTGACATTCCAGGGAAGGCCCACTTAGTTACACAGACAAAATTCCAACAGAATCAGAGCCCAGGGGCCATTTTTCATGGCTTTGGCACTGGCAGGATGAACCAGCAGCCTTGGCACAGCATCCCCAGCAGGGCACAGTTCAGCAGCTTCCTCTTCATGGCTCATAGAAACCTGCTCAGTTTGAACTGGGAAAAAGCTCCATAAACCCATCAAACACGTGGAGCTGGGAATTAAGGAGTCGCTTCCCAACCCCCAGCCACGTGTGCAGAGATAACTGGGAGCACATTTGTTTATTTAAACTCCGAGGAGGAAACAATAAAAATGTTCATTTGAGAAATGTAAACTCATTCCTGTTTCCTTGAACCGCACGTGGCACCTTCCAAAGTCCTCTGGGAGAGGACAAAGGCCAGTCAGACAAACCCACTGGAGCCAGGAATTGGTCTGGAATGTTCAACTCACTACAGTGACACGGGGAATCCTTTCCCCAGTGAGAGGGGCTAAAGCTAAATGGGGTTTTTGGCAATAAACACTTAATTACAGGGAAAGATCATTCCTGCAGGATTGCTCTGCAATTCCAGCTACAGAAGAACTCAGTTTTCTTCATCTGAGGAGAGACCTTCAATCTCATCTCTGTCTCCTCCAATTGCCATCCAGAAGGCTTTGGCCACCTACGATGGCAAAAGAGATGGGAAAGGAGAAAAATTCCCATGAAATGACTGAAGAATTTGAATTCACCACCCCAAAAAGAAGAGACTGAGCAGCAGGTACATGTGGCAGCCAGGTTATCTGGATACAAACCAGGTTGGGAAGTGTGACCTCACCCCTCTGAGGTTAAGGAATTCCAGGCAATTATTTAGGATTCATGGGAGGCACCTCTGATACCAAACCTGTGCTAATTAAGGCCTGATTAAATTTTCCAGGAGATCAAGGCTTTTTCATGGACTTGTGGAAGCTGGACAACAACCCCTGTGATTGCAGGGCCTTCAGCTGGGAAAAGGAAGGGAAAAGGGAAGGGGAAGGGGAAGGGAAATGGAAAGGGGAAGGGAAAGGAAAGGAGAACTTAATGGCAAGGGGGTGGAACGAGATGATCTTTGAAGTCCCTTCCAACCCAAAACATTCTGGAATTTTCCAGTGTTTCAAAATTCCAGGTTTGTTACTCAGTTCTTGAGAGATACCTGACAGGTCCCTAGGACTATGTGGTTTGTTTCTATTCCTCTCACTCCAGGAACCCTCCAGGAGCAGGAACTATGGCTTAGGAAGGGAAAACCCCATTGTTGGTCATTCCAGCAGCGATTCCCAAACTCACCTTTTCTGCGTGGAGCTTCCTTTGCTCATGAGGCAACGTGGCAGCTTTATCTGTGGAAAAGAGGAATGACTTGGGTTGTGAGCCTCAGCAGTGAGCAGGGACAGGAACACCTCCCTCAGCTGGATTTAGGGAACTAGTTCAAGATCATAAAAAAGTGATCTCATTTAGTAACAGCAATTGCTTTTACTAAATAGGAATAGGAATTCGTACAGAATTCCCAACTCACTCTCTGGCTGTCACGGCTGAGCCCCTGGAATAGGTGCCAGAGCTCAGGTACCTCCCTCCTGCTGTTACCTTTCATTTCTTTCAGCTTTGAGAGCAGCCTTTCGAAGTTCTCCAGGTCCCCATCTCTCGTGGTCAGATTGGCCAACTCCTGGATGTCCATGTCCAACATGGGATCTGAAACAGAAAGTGATTGAAGAGAAATTATTCTGGTTTATCAGCATAAATCCAGCATTTTAACATCTGCAAATCCCATTTGCAAATTCCAGCCCCAGAGGAGAGAAACAAACAATTTACTGATTGTTCACATGGAAAATCAGGCATTTTATGGAAGGAATTGTTCCCTGGGAGGGTGGGGAGGCCCTGGCACAGGTTGTCCAGAGAAGCTGTGCCTGCCCCTGGATCCCTGGAAGTGTCCAAGGCCAGGCTGGATGAACTTGGAGCAACCTGGGATAGTGGGAGGTGTCTCTGCCATGGGTGGGAATAAGATGAGTTTAAGGTCCTTCCCACCCAAACCATTCCAGGATTCCAGGATTTTATGATGTATTACATTGCAAGAGTGTGTTTGAGTTCATCCAGTAAAAGTTCCCTGCTGATTCTGGAATGATCTCTCTAGGAACAACCACAGAGTGAATTAAAACCTGATGAGACAGTGCTGAGACCACAAGTGATAACACCCTGTGTTTAGATCTCCACATACAAGTTGTGAGAAAGTCCCATCTCCTGGAATGCTGCACTTATTTAAGGACTGGCTCTGGCAAGTACATTTATCCTCACTTTTCCCAGTGGCTTTGTGGGACCATCCCAGCCAGGTGTGTCTGCTCCAAGCAGAGCAAGATCTCACCTGCAGCGTTGTCCAGCTGCAGGTTGTTTGTTCCAGCTCCATCTTCCCTGCTGTCAGCCTGGGAATCTTCTCTGTCTGCTGGGGAAGGGTTGGACTGTCAACAAACAAACAGGTGTTTGAGTGTGAAAAACCAAAAAACCCCATCAGCAAATCGGGTGCTTCCTGTTTTCACTTCAAAACCTGACACTTCATCTTAAGCTGTCACTGCAAAAGCTGTGCCACGAAAAACCCCTTCTGCAAGGCTGCCAACAGGTACAATGGGGAGGTTTCTTAGGAAAGAATATGGTTTTAAACAACACTATGAAATGGTAGTTTTTGGTTTGCCCAAAATGCCGCTCTTGGATTAACAGATTAATGAGAAACATCTTGGATGGAGCTTTTAGTGATCTCTCCTTGGCTCTGGGGTTTTTTTACACATTGGCACAGTGGGGAGGTGACAACCACCACCCTGAGGGTGGCACAGGAAAGGGCAGCACAAGGGACAGGCTGAGCAAAGGACAGGAACAAGGAATTACTGTTTACTTCTGTCTCTTGGGTCTCTTCAGGGCCAACACTTCGATTTGCACCCGCCAACGTGCTGAGGAGCCCAAAGCCCTGGGTCCTGTCTGGAGACAAAGCAGAAGCTGCAATTACCACAGACACTTGGAACTGGCCAGGTGGGACAGAGAGGATTTCAGGGAAAAGGTGTCAGTGCCTTAAAAATATATTTTAAGCAGAAATTTTAGATGTTTTCTAAGGGTTTTTTAAACTCTGTTAGCAAGATCTACTGCTGAGTGTTTCTCACAGGGAGCCACAAATGTGGGATCTTTTTAATTCTCATTTGAAGTCTCTGCTCCTTTAGGATTTGAGCTGGCAAATGGCTCCTGATTCCAAACAAGGCAGCTGGTGAAATCCAGGAGCAGCATTTGGTGTTCCTGACACTTCCATGGGAAGCAGCACTGAGTTTGGGGCTGGATACAGGAGATGCAACAAGTGCCTTTGCTCACACACAAATTGTTTAAACAGTAATGGCAAAGGCAACTTATAAAATACCTAATTCAGAATTCCTGGAAGGAGCCAGCCATCAAATCCAATTTGTGGAGGTGCTTTGGGCCTTCCACAGCTGCTGCCCTGCTGTGTATTTCAATGGGATTTTAAAATCTAACCTAAAAAGTGACTTCAGACCTAAACCTAAACAGTCAGCTAAGATAACAGATGTGCTACAGTATTTTTAAATTAAACTAGCTGCTTTTTAAAAATGTTTTTATATAAAAATATATGTATAATAGGTGATATTATGAGGTGTTTTTTATAACAAGTCATGCTTTTCTAAGTCACAGTTTACTCCTCCATACAAGCTGGCCTTGCACTGAGTAGTAAATGTTTGCAGTTACACAAGGGACTCAGGAGATTTTTCTGCAAATCTTTGTATTTTAGTCCACTAAAACTGAAATGTGAAGTTATTGTACTAGAAATAGCCAGGAAACAATGAATGGTGCCAAAAGAAAGATTTAATATTACTTTTGAAAATAAATGTGTTCTAAATGATTACACTCATGACTAAGCTCTAGACTCAACTGCTGAGCTGATGTCATTTTGATGCACTGTCCAAATTTCCCTGCCATTTCTCCAAACTCTCCTTTTGAGGGCTTGGATGTGTGACTGAACCCATCAGCCATCCAGCAAACACGTAAACACGTCTCCATAAGAGCATTCCCGGGACCTCCTTTCCTGCTGGATGCTCCTGCAGCTCACGTGTGTCCTGCCCCAGCCTCTCCTCCCCTCCTGCTCCCCCCAGCAGGTATTTGGGGCCACTGGCTCTGCTTTATCCACTTTTACTGCTGGAACAGGTCACCTTCCAAAGGGTTGGGAAGAAGTGAATCAGTGGAGCCAAATGAATTCCCTTAAAAATGTCCAGCTGCCATGGGAGAGCCTGTGAAGTCCACCAGCAAATTAACAGGAATTGAGGGATAAAACACCTGGACTTGTATCCCAAAGCAAAGCAGCTTCCCCAGGTTTCATTGGGCTGTCTTTTGGGAAGCTGTAAAGATGGACACACAGCCAATTTCTGAGTCATCTCAAGTGAGGTTGGACACTGCAGGCCAGAGTGTACTGGAGAGAGAACATTCCCACATTGGCAGTGATCTAATCATGGACCTCGTTCCTATCTGGGATTAGTTTGTCCTGTCCAGAAAAATGACAGGGGCTCCCTGCTCCATATTCCCTCCTCCAACACTACAGAGCCTCAGCCAGAACAATTAGAGATGTCATCCCTTTCAGAAAAACCTGGAATCTCCAGCAGGGCTCTCTGGACAGCAGCTATTTGTCTCTGGCTGCCTGGTTAGGGAGGTGGCAGACATAACACTCGGTTGCAGGCACACCCTCGAAAAAAGCCTTCCATAAACCCTTTTTATTGGATCTAAAAGTTATTCCAACTTCTGGGTGCAATTAAGGAAGTGGGTGATGCCTTACACAGTGTTCTTAGGGCAGCCAAGCCAAAAATTAGCTCATCCAACTTATTGTAATAATCAGTGGTTATGGTGGACCTGGGTTGTCCAGAGAAGCTGTGACTGCCCCTGGATCCCTGGAAGTGTCCAAGGCCAGGTTGGAGCAACCTGGGATAATGGGAGGTGTCCCTGCCCATGGCAGGGGGTGGGACTGGATGAGTTTTAAGGTCCCTTCCAACCTAAGTTTAAATAACCAAGTTTAAAAGTTCTTCCTAGAGCAGGTTAATTGTATGTCAATAGAGCCTGGCCACACCTGAGGGAACCACCTTCACCTGGGCTCAGGAGGGAGGGATTTAAGCAGGGAACAAGCCAAGCTCCTCTTCCAAAGGGCAGGAAACGGTTTCTTTTCCTACCACACGAGCTCTTGGAGGGACAGATAAAGGCAGCAGCAGTTGTGGGGAGGGAAATATGTTACCTGGAGAATCACTCGTGTCCTTCTGCACAAGGGGGAGAAAAACTCCTCCTCCTCAGAGTGAGAGAGCTCTGAGGGCTGGAGAACCAACAGCTCCAAAAAGGAATTGCCCTCTGGAGACCCCCAGGTAAGGCTGTTTGTTTGTCTCAATAATTTATTTACTCACAAAGCATGTGGTGGGATTGTTTGATGTGAAATTGTTTATAATTCAACTGTGTTACACTGGATAACTACTTTTATGAATCTGTGTGAGAATGGATGTATTTAATGTTAAGAGAAAAAAGTCAAAATTTTAATAGGTGTGTGGCAAAACTACAGCTTGAGAAGAACTGTGTTTGGGCTTAAGATAAAATGCAGTAAAATAATATGGGTTTAATGCTCGTGCTTGAAAAAAGTCATTCCTGCTCTGCTTGTAAACTTAAATTGTCACAGGAACAGGTTGTTGAAGGAAGGCAATGCTGTAACACTGGTTTTTTGGATGGCTACACTTAACAGTGCTACAACCACGTGCTACTACATATTTACTACTAGAACTACCTTATGCTCTCTGAAAAAATCTCCCCATGGAACACGAGAGCATGGTTTCCAAGCAGGCAGCACTTGTAGGTAATTCAGTGGAAAAGCTAAAGTTTGATGCACATGGCAGCCAGTTTGCAGGAGCTGGAGGAAGCTGAAAACAAAAGATGTGTTACAGGTTGTAAAAAGTTTTATTTTAAGTAAAATGAGCTTCCCTTTGAAGGCACAGTCAGGCTGCAGCACCTTCCAAATATAGCTCACTTCCTGAGGGGTTTGTGGTGATGTGTGGGCTTTGTGGAGATAGAAAATCTGGATTTTCAAGGAGTCTGACCTTTCCAGAACACAGCAGTGATGTGTAGGAATTTCCCCCCCATGAAAAACTGAACATGTGACTGAACTGTGCTGTTCTGTAAGGTGGCATCTGCCAAATGCAGGAAATATGCTGCTAAGAAACCACTTTTGGCACAAGTGAGATAACTTTGCACCATCTGCTGTGGTCACCTGGTTCTCTGCAATGGTAACACTAAGTCAGACCCCACCTTAACCTCATTTCTGATGCAGGATGAGAAACACTCAGGAAGCTACATTAAAAAAATAAAACATAGGATCAGTTTGGGAGTCCTCATCCTGGTTTTACTGAGTCCCAGCAACTATTTTGCAGCTACAGGGAGGAGCAGAAGCCTCTCAGCACTTTAAATCAGTTCACAGTTAAAAGTCACAACAGGAGAAAATGGGACATGAGGGAGCAGACAGACATTGGAAGGTTTCTGGTGGGGTAAGGGTTTGTGAAACAGGAGGCCAAGCCCTCCCCAAGAGTTTAGTCCTCCTACATTTCCTGCAGCACCTCGTGTTATTAGAAAGGTAATTAAAGGTTTTCAAGTAAATGGAAGTGTCTGCACTTGCAGCCACAGTATTTCCTTTTCTAATGAGTCTAAACCTAAAGTGATTTTTTTTTTTTCCAAAATTCTAGCTACCAGATAATCACTTGTCTGCAGGAAATTATCTGAGGTTGCCTGTTTCAAAGAAATTCTGTGGTTTCCACATACTCAAGTGGGGTTTTCTGTAGGGAAAACCATCCTTCTTGCAATGCACTTGGTACATCCTTTAACATTTGACATCACCTCTCTGCCAAATCTCATCTCTGCACTTGCTATTCTCCCTGTTTCAAAAATTAAAATAAGTCCCAAATTTGGACTTTAACCTTTTACTTCTTCTACAGCAAACCCTGTATCAGTTTTTAGACCTGATAACGACAAACTATTTCCTGCTAGAATTTGGGGGGACAACCTTTCATTTTTCATTGCAACTTGCAGAATCCATGGAACATTTCACTCAGTTATTGACAGGGTGCAAGGTAAAGCACAGAGGGAGCAGGAGCAGATGCTGAAACAGGAGTAAATCTTGACACAGAAATTCTTTCCAGTGAGGGTGGTGAGGTGCTGGAATGGATTTCCCAGAGAAGCTGTGGCTGCCCCAGCCCTGGAAGTGTCCAAGGCTAAGTTGGATGAACTTGGAGCAACCTGATCTAGTGGAAGGTGTCCCTGCCCATGGCAGGGGGTGGGATGAGATGAATTTTAAGGTCCCTTCCAACCCAAACCATTTCATGATTGTGTGATAAATCTCCCCTGTTGCCTGTGAGTTTATTGGGACATCAAGGACAAGGAAAGCAACCCCTGAACCCTCTTATTCCCTGGGAAAGGTTGGGGGGTGCTCAGATCTCTCTCTGCTGATGCAGTAGCTCAATTTAAACTTTTGGTAGGAACCCCAAGCCCTGTGGGCTTCCCAGACTGCAGGCAGGAGGGAGCTGTCACGTACCGCTCTTCATGACCACGTTGGACCACACGTTGGCATTCAGGGCTTGCACGATCCGCTTCACCCCGGTGGACTCGGGGAAATCATCTAAACCAGAACAGAGACATTGCCCTCCTAAAAATCACACCCAAAACCACGAGGGGCCCCAAAGCCAGCAGGGGTGTGGCTGCAGGCCTGTCCCATCTTCTCCCAATCCACAGAAATTGCCGCTTCTGGGAGGAAACACAGATTTCTCACCTTTGTTTCCTGAGAGGCCAAAGAAATCTAAATTAACACCTCACTTCTTGGTCTGAGCTTCCAGGTATAATGAACTGTGAGCTCTCAGCCTTTGGGAGAGATCTACATTGTTAAGTACCATCTGAGTAAATTTAATAGTGACAGACAATTTTTAAGTTGCTGTTAAAAGCAACTGAAAACCTTTTACCCCGGGATCTTTTAGAGTGCTGTGTGGCATAAAAATAGATATTAGAATTAATGCTGTGGGGCATAAAAATAGGTATTAGCATTACTCTTCCTTCCTTTAGAAAGTAAAGAAGTTGAGACAACCATTTAAAAAAGGTGTGATGCTTGTTAGAAATGAGATAGATGTTGTTGAGACAACTTTACAATAATCAATCTTGGAATGTTCCAGTAATCCTGGGAATTACAGGAACCTGAAAGACGAGGGAAAGCATTATTCAGATTTGAACTTATTTACTGAATAGATCTGACACCACTTGGGACAAAGTCAGTTTTCCCACTTCCTCAGTTTAGTCAGCTTCCCATGTTTGTGCAGGTTCACAAAGGGAAAAAAAAAACCCACCCAAACAATTCTTTGGTTACAAAAATGTGATTGTTTAGAAATCAAACCCCAGTGACTCAGGGACAGGTGCAGTAATTGAAACTGCCTTTAAAAAGGAATTTAAAGCTCTCTCTCTGACCCCTTAGATCAAATGTTTTGCCCTCTGTGATGCTGCTGTTTGGTTTTATATCAGAGTCATTATCAAAGTCTCAGTTTGGAGCTCTTGTCCTGGCTGAGTGTCAGTGAGTCACAGCAAAAGCTCTTTTGTGATGAGCTGCCAGAAATGTCAGAATTTTGAGCAGATACTGGCCCAGAGTGTTTACTGCATCTGTTGTGCCTTTTGTAATTCACACAGCATGTTTATGGGGTAAATAAGTTACTCACTGGAACACAGTTCCTCCCCTGCATGAGTCACAGTGAATCAACTACCATTTAAAAATCTAGGGAAGAACATGGATCTTAATATTCCCAAAATTAACATCCTGAGTCATTGTTACTCCTATTGTTTATATTATGTAAATGGTAAACAGCCTGTTCTTTAAAAGAGTTATTCAACAGAAAAATAACTCAATGTAATGTTACTAATATTTCCTTTCCAAGCATTCAAGGGTCTTCACTTGTGATTTTTCTGGTTTCTGGGAATCAGAAACATGTGCATCCCTCCCTCTTTGACCAAACAAAAAGACAGCACTTTAAAGGCACGGTGAGGGGAGAAGGAGAGTTCTCAGCTACTCAAGATACAATTTACTGAGCCTTTAAAGGGGGAAAGGGGTGGGACTTGTGCTCTAGCTGAGGATTTTACACTGAATTCTTCTTGATGAACCCGAAATGTTAGTGACTGCCTGCACTCCAGCCTGGCAGTGCAGCCACTTCTCTCGTTTTGGCTCTGTAGGGGTAAGATGGAAACACTTTTTTGCATCACTGAAGTGAGCAGATAAGGCTGATGCTGATAAGGCTGTCAGGAAGTGCACAGTCACTCTTCAGGAGTGGAACATCACACTTCTGACTTTTTTTTTTGCCTTTTTTTTTTGTTTTTTCTTCTTTGAGTTACAAACGTATGGGCAGCCAGTGATTCTGAAACTGGTTTATTTCCTGTGTAACACTGCACGTTGTTCTAAAATGTTTTTAATAACCTCCCCTCTTCTGCCCATGGTGTCACTGTTTGAAAAATGTCTATCTTCTCTTGGTAGTTACAGTAGTTTAAGTTTTTTTTTAAAACAATGAAGAGTTTTCCTGCCCTCCTGCATCTCTTGTTTTAGATTTATTTTCCAAGTGGAATTTATTTTCCAAGTGGAATATAAACACTCCTAATGTATCAATACAGCCCTAGGGTTCAGTGCCAGAGAAAGGAGCAGATATTATTATTTTTATGGAGGTGCTACATAAACAGCAGCTGTATTTGGGAGGAGACAAATGGAATTTCTCAGAGGAAATAACCTCCTCCTCCTGACCTTTTATAGCTGAGACTAAGCCCCACCAACTGGGAGCATTCCATGCTGTAATCATGTGGCACATCAACAATTGCAAGGGGCATAACTTTATTTAGAAGTTATTTTGGGGTGTTTTTTCATTCTCAAAATGACAAGAGAAGTGGCAGTCTTACCATCTTCGTCAGGCAGCTCCTCAGGGTTAAGTTCTACCAGCTCAAAGCCATGTTTGATGCACCATTCTTGAGCTTTCTGTCTGTTTACACCTAAATTGGGAAGCAAAAATGTGTATTAAACATACAGATTTGAGAGCAGTATCAGCAGTTGAATATTTACCTGTGTTTTATTCACTCAAGGTTGTTTGCTTATTTTGGATTGTATGGGGGGAAAGTGTTGTTATAGCTGCTGTGGTCCTTCATTCACTTGGGATTCCAAAAGCTGCAGAGTTAAACTCCTCCTTGGAATTGTTTTGGGGGTTTTTTGAAATGTCATGAAGTTAAATGGCTTTGGAAGGTACTCAAAGGAAAATGTAAGTGAGGTGCTACAGTGAAAGAAGACTTCCATTAACTCTGGGGTTGATAGTCAATTAAGCTGCAGGGACACATCTGCGCCTCTAAGCTCACCGTTGTGTTTAATGGCCAAATGGTCAAAAAAAAGTCCTTTCCACTGGAATTAAGCAACCAACAGCCTCCCCCAGGATCATGCAGATCCAGCAGTGTGAAGGCCTTTTCTCCTGGCAGTGGCAGGGCACCCAGAGCTCACTGAGCAGGCTGGCACAGTTCTGATTCAGCTTTAACCACAACTCGCTGACGGTTTCTGCCCCTGCTCCCGAGTCTCTTGGCTGTTCAGCACATCTCAGGGCCACTTGCACCCAGATATTCTGAGCCATAACTGACTGAATTAGACAGTGAATTATCCTGCAGGGTTAATAACTCTGTCAGTGGGGGAGTTCTGGGGGGTTCATACCATTCTCAGACACTCTGTCGCACACCAGGATCAGCACCTCTGGCAGCCACTCTTCTGTCAGGGGCAGCCACTCAGAGACACCTTCCAGCCCAGTTTTCTAAAAGAGGGGGGGGAAAAAAAGGAATTCTTTGGAATACATCCTCAAATACTTGAGTTTTTAATAGTATTAGAACAAAATGAAGTAAGGAAATGTGCTTTTTCTGTCTCAGTCTTTCTGGCTCCTGCTAAAGCACTGTTTCCACTGCTGCCTTACAGCTTAGCAGCAACAATTTTGGATAAAATGCACTGAATCTTACATTTAGCTCCCTCATTTTTGGCTCTCCTAAAGGAGCCTTTCCAAAGCAGCATCAGGTAGGAATAACACTGGAAGAGGATTTGCCTAACTTAGTGGCATATTTGTATCTTAAAAACCTCTCTTCCAGTTGGAGTACAGTAGTAAAAGGGGAGGGAACTGCTGCTATTGTTAGCAGGCATAATTTAACATGGATCTCCTGACAATTAATAGCACAGCCTGGAGGGGAGGGATGGCACAAGAGGGAGAATCTCATTTATGGTTATCACTGTGCTAAGGCAGCTACATCACACAGATAAAGCAAGGAAATGAAGCAGCAGAGTCTCACTGTTGTGCTGTCAAAGTACACCACGAACGCCTGCACGGACTCGGCGATTTCTCCAGTGACGTGGAACGTGTTTGGGACCACACAGAGATGAATATCTGCAGAATAATACTTGTTATCGATTGTCCAGGGGTAAAAATTCACTCTTCCACTTGTAATTGCACCCACAGTCAGGTCATCTTTCCCTGTGATACCTGTGTAAGAGAAAAGGGAAGAGAAGGGTGATGAAGGCAGCATGAAGAAAATAATTTGTCTAGAACAGTACAGTGCCAACTTTACTTGCTATAATAAACCAGTCTGTATTCAAGATCTCTACAAATTCAACTCAATTTGTTACTCTGTCCTAGATTTTAATACTTAGCTTTCAAAAGAATTTGCTTTCTAGTTTTCAAAGTAAGACATGGTACAGCAGCTCTCCAGAAAGCCTTTTTTTTTTTTCCCCTGGAAATGCCTTTTTTAAAGTGTTAAACTCACTGCCTGTAGACAGGGTGTATGGAGAGAACACCTAGACTCTGTTACAGCAGAAACCTTCACACAGTCATTCAGATGTAAAGAACTGTTTGACTGTGACCACAACCTGAAGGTAACTAATGAGAAAATGAACCCAGTTACTACAATTTGGTTGTAATTCCCATTAAATTCCACGTAGGAGTTCAACAATTAAAATCCCAGGCAGTGTTTGATAAGATAATGTTAAACACTGCCCTTCCCAGTGCACGCTCCTGGCACCTCATGGAATGGAGTTAGAGTTTGCAGCAGAGCATCCCTCCATACCTCGAGGGAAAGGGCAGAATACCTTGTTCCAGCTGGATGAACTCGAGGTCACTTGAAAACACAGGTCAGTTATTTATAAAATGGCCTGAGCCATTCAGAATTGCCTGGGGTATCAGAGGAGTTAAAGAAATAAAGTACACAGCTTTTCAAGGATCTTAAAGGTTGTATTTTAAGGTACTGAGAGGCAGTTCCTGGAGCTGTAAGAACAGGCTGTTCCCTAAATAGTTGGGACATGAATTTGAATTTATCTGTATCTTACTAATAAAAAGGCAGGAAAAGCCTGTTGCCAAGGTTGCCATAGAAAGGTTCAATGATTTTTGCAACTAACTGCAAAGTCTGGTGTGCTGAATGAACACAGTGTACAGGGCAGGGAGAGGGGAGCTCTGAACCAGGATTATTTGCAGCAGTGAGGAGGAGATGGAACCTGAGGGAGAAATTTGACCTCAGAAACAGAACCCTGGAGCCATTTCCTACTGAGGAGGATGAAACAGGAATCTCCTCTCTGGGTTTGCTAAGAAAAAAGTGCTTTTTCCAGGTTAAAGTTTGATTTTATTATTTTATTTTTTTTTTTACTTGGGATGCCAAGAGTTTTCAGAGCAATTGGTCTTTGTGCAGCAGCTCTTCTGGGATCAGATGATCCACCTCACCTTGGAGCTGGGGATGGTGCTGCTGAGGCACCCCAAAACCAACCCTCATTCTGAGCTTTGTGTTCTCACAGCTGTTCATAGAAATAGGGAAGGGACCAGCAATCCAGGCAACCAAATCCAGGAATCTTGAAAGGCTTCCTTCTTCCACAGCTTTTTTTAACCACTCTTAAGCAGTAATTCCAATTCCAGTGGCCCAGAGAAGCTGTTTTCCCATGTTTACATGGATATTAGGACTAATGGAAGTAGTTGGATATAGAGATATCTGGAGTGCAGATATTTTGTTTGGAGGTTTTGACTATGATATAAATTTCCCTTTATTTGTGCTTTGACAGTTAAAAATAAGTAACTAAATACAAATCAGTGTGAGCTAACAGAATTGCAAATCAATGCCACAAGAAGCTTAGAATAAAGGAGACTGCAGAAATTATTGAAACCCAGAAAATCAGCAATAAGACTTAAAAAACCAAAGGGAGGAAAACAGGGTGAGGAAAGGAAATCAGTTCAAAAATCACCTGGGTGAGTTATTCCCCCTAGAAAGGGCATAAAATGCAAGAACTTCTTATAAAGGATTTTTCAAAAGCTGGTATGAATTTCACATTTGCTTTGTAAGTGATTTTTTTTTAACTTGCAGAAGAGTTCATGGACAAATTTAGGCCTCAAAGTACTGCCAGCATGAGGACATGGCCCATTTCCTACTACCTGCTCCTTGTTCCTGTACTTTAAGCAGTTTTCTTTCATCCCATTGTGCTGCTGATGACCCATCCTGCAGCCAAAGATTTTGCCAATTCCCTGTGAAATTTCTCTCCCAGTAAAAATGGATGTTGCACACTGAACTCAAAAGGGGCTTCAGGAACTTGCTGAAAGGATTCAGATTTGCTGTGGCCCCAGCCTGCACTCAGAGCTGTAACAAATTACTGCAGAACAGCCTGATCACCCCTGGCAGGAAACTCAACATCTTGGGAGGGGTTTTCTCCCACAAAAGTTGCTTAAAACAATTAGGTTTTGGCCTTTAGAGTAAACAAGCAGAGACTATAAGAGAAATATATACAGCAACTTAAACTGAGTTCTCATTCTATGCAGAAACTAGTTTTAGGTGTTATATTTACCACCTCTGCATTCCAGAAATTTCTTTCCGGAACAAAATGTATTTTAGTGAAAAAAGGAAATTCAGCCACGATAGTCTGGTATCCAGTCTAAGGAATAACCCCATGAAGTTCTATTTGGATACAGAATAAACTCCTAGAAAATGAATATGGCAAAAGGAGGTGGCTTGTCCAACTTATCTCTCGTGAGTGGCTTAGGAGGGAGTTACTCCTTTTGAATATTAAACTCCTCAGCCACCGAAAGTGTCAGTGGTTTGCCATCCAAAGAGCCTGGAAAACCAAGTGAGTCACTCTGGGACCACAAGAGGAGCAGGGCCTGCTGGGCTGGGCTCTCCAGCTCCCCTTTTGGGAGAGGGAAGAGGCTGCTCTGGGTGACAGGAATGCAAGCACACTGCAGAGGCATCGCCGTTCAGGAGCGCTAAAAACACTCGTGGAAAACTTCGGGGCACTCAAGAAAGTTGCTTGGTGTCACTCAAAAACATGATTTAGAGCTCAGAGTCTTCTAAGAAATACTGGGAGTTGTTTTATTTTTAGGCAGTCAATCACCAGCTTAGATTTTCAGTAAGTGCATTACTTGTGTCCTCCTTCACTCACAGGTGAGTGGATTTACCTAGAATTTTTAATAAAGTGGACACTAATCCTGATTGATGCCTTTGGAAATTAATTTCAGCTATTTACATAAATCTTTGCTCATTTTACTGACTTAAACTTGTTAACTTTTAATTTCATATTCTTGCCTACAGACAAGATAAATTAACCAATGACTTGGAGGACAAAGCAGACATGGCAAAGCTCTATAACCTCACATCCATTCCCTTCTTTAATACTGAGGCTTAGTGCAAATACTTTTTCAAAAGGTGAACTGGAGACCAGAAAAAACTTTTCAGAAAAGCTGAATAATCAATATTATCAATAATAATCAGACACCCCTATGTAGCTCTCTTGCAGCAATTTCCCTGTTCTCTGACACCCAACTGATATTTTTAAGCATTTTGACCACATGGTGTTTAATAGTAATATTTTTTGGAATAATTATAACTACTTTTTGCAGGGTGTTTTCCTTTCCAAAGGCGTTAAGGTATTGATCACTCTTCCTGGTGTTTTTCAGACTGAATCCATGCTGTAAGAACACAAATCAGCCTCCTACAATGCCCTAAATGATCCCAAATCCTCAAGAGTTGTCAGGTATTCCAAGTAGTTCCCACATTCTGGGCCTTGAGAGCCACCTGGTGGAATAAACCATAAAAAATACTCCTAAAAATTACACCAAGGAGGAAAGAGACCCCAAATGTGCTGTAGGGGAAGAGGGGAGTGGTAAACAGTCAAAAAGGGGAAGGGAAAGAAGGGAAAACAATCACATCAGACAGGATTTATCTGTTGGTCAGCATTTTTAAAACTGAAACAATCTTATTTGCTGTTTTAATTTGTGATAAACATATCACAGTAAGACACAGATCTATGTTCATTTTAAATAGTTTTGTTTTGCCACAACACCCAATGAATTAAAGCATTCAGAGCATCCTACAGAAACTCGAACAAATAAAAATATATCCAGCAAATACACCGTAACACCTTCTTCATCCTCAAGGCATTTCCCACTGGGAAAAGACTTGGAATTAGCCTGGAAGGTTCTGACAGGCTGTTTGACCCCACCAAAACCCTTCAGCCCAGCCCTGTCCCCACCAGTATGTCCTTGGATGTTTTACAACGTTCTGCTGGATGGATCTGATTTAAATTCACTTGTTAAACAAAACAGACACTTAAAATTCAAATGGTATTTTAGTAAATCATCTTGTTTCTTTCAGGAAGATTTTAATGTCTTTGTGAAGAAACCCAACCAAGGACACCCAGAAAAAGCAGTAAGACTCCAGTTTGGTGGAAGCTGAGACATTTCAAAGTGAGTACTATTTAAAAAAATCTGAAGTTTAAATTTAAGACTTTCTCAGATTAAGTAACATTTCTATGAAGCTTTTTACTCATCTTTTTTTTTAACTTTTTTAATTTCCCTACGAAAAACAATCAAAGGAAACCTACAGGGACCTTGAACCTTCCCATTTGCTTATTTTCCTCAAAAATAAGCAAAACCCAATAATTATATTCTTTGCTGTGGAATCCTTAAATAATTCAGTATCAACTCAGTTGACAGAGAAGCTTTTGACTGCAGACTTTGTACTGTTGTTTTTGTCTCAAAATGTGGTTTAATGAGATGGAGGGAGCCAGTTCCTGGGGGCAGCCCTGTGCTTTGTGAGGTCCTAAGTAAGATCCTGCTCAGGAAAAGATGAAAATAAATCCAGAAAAGGGGATGAGGGTGTTAAGTTCTACATTTCAAGTGTGCATAGCAAACTGTTCATGAGTTCCCTAAAAAGCAAGGCTGTCCTAAGATGTTGTAATGGGAAAGCCACGAAAATGTAAACAGCTTCTTTTTGGAATCCCTCTGAATTTAGAATTACCAAAAATCCCACCAGGGTTTACTCTGTTATCAGGTCTCCCTATGTTCCCTTTTAAAGCCATGAAAAGGAATACTGGGTTTCCAGGAAAACCACTTCCTACAGACTAAATTCCACGTATTTGACATGAATTGTAATCTGCAATTCTAACAACTGCAGAGCAGATGAGTTTTTTTAGTTTTCCCTTTTAGTGCTTCTGCACTGGGACAACAAATGGTCTAATGCAAGAGCCCAGGCCCAGCAGGAATTTTAGAAATTCCACCGTCCTGAAGGTCCAAGACAGTCTGTTCACTTCATAAATGGGCAGGTGAAAGCAAAGGGACAGTATTTAGTTTGCTCCTGGTTTTCCCTTGCCCATAATCCTGAGCCACTGGGGTTGCTCTGGAGTCCCCCTCTTGCTCCAGGGAGCACTGATGTGTCCCAGAGAAACAAGAATTGGTTAAGGTAATTCTCGAATTGTCCAGGTATAACTCACAATAGCTTATTCCCACAGAAAGGGGTAAAAGAGTATTTTGGGACATGGGGCTTCCTTTACTCCTGTGGGTTCTGGCTGTGAAGCTGCTCCTGGGTGTCAGAGTGGACAAACCACAACCCACGGCTCCAGACCACCCCTGTTTAATGAATTATTTCCTCGAAGCACTAAGGAGGTCCCTGACACGCTCTGCAAGGGCTTGGGGGCTGCAGGGGACTGGGTGGCAGCCCTGGGGCTGGGGGGAGGATCGAGACCCTGAGGGGAGGATGGAACCCCCGAGAGGCGGATTGAGACCCTGAGGGGTGGATTTTAAACCCTGAGGAGTGGATTTGAGACCCTGAGGGTAGAACTGTGACTGTGAGGGGGGGCTCAGCCGCCGCGACGGGAGGACTGGGACCATGAGGGGATGGCAGAGATCCTGGGGGAAGGATTGATCTCCTAAGGTGCCGATTGAAACCTGAAGGGAGAACTGGGACCCTGCTGGCGAGGGACAGCGATTCTGACGGAAGGACTGAGCCCCTGAGGGAGGAATAAGGATACTGAGCGAAGGACTGGGACCCTGGCGGGAGCACAACCACCCTGAGGGCCCGGGCTGGGGGGAGGAGCCGCTGCCAGGCCGCTTCCAGCGGGCGCGGGCAGGCCGAGTCCCTTCTTTCCGCCCTCGCGGGCGCCGCGGCGGCACCGACTCACGTTTGACGAGCTCCTCGGGCGCGAAGCCCGCGGCACAGCTGGTCACCAGCGCCAGCGGCCCCGCCGCCGCCTCCGCCGCCATGGCGCCCGCGCCGCGCCCGCCCCTGCCGCCGCTACCACCCGCGCGCGGGGGGGGCGGCACGGGGAGGAGCCGGGCCGAGCGCGGGTTCGGCCCCTGCTCGGTGCGCTCTCCCCCCCTCCGCGGCGGGGCGGATGGTGCGGCCCGGGCAGCGCGTCCCGTTGCCGGGTGAGGCGGTGCCGCCATGGCCGCGCCGGGAGCGGGGCTGGGAGCGGGGAAGGTGCGTTCGGGAGCGCCGGGAACGGCCGCTCCTGTCCCCGGACCGGCCCCTCCGGCCACGGCAGAGCAGCTGCGGGGCTCCCCGTCACTCCTCGAGCCCCCGGGTCACCCCTCGGCTGAGGCGCGGCGCGCCCTGATGTTGCTGAGGGGATGGGGGGGGTACGGGGCGTCCGGTGCTCCCTGAGGGGGAGGCGGCCGGTGGGTGTCGGGTCGGGGCTTGGGCTGTGGAAATGCTGCGTAAATGCTGTGGGTTTTAGCCTAGCGAGACCTCGAAATTGTTTAGTTAAGGTAAATACGCGTTTTTGACGTGGTTTCCTCACAGGCTGCCCCGAGTTTTAAGTCTTTCATTAAGGGTTTTGAGGTCCCTGCCCAGTGAAGCCACTTGTGCTGTGAGACGTGTGTGAAATGTGTAAGGAAACAGAGAACCTCAGTCCTGAACTTTATTCTCGTTGCTTTGTGAGGTTCGTTTTCAAATTGATTTTTTCCCCAGCTTTTCTAGAGTCAATGACTAAGTAATTGGCTTGGTATTCTCTTATAATAGTACAAAAGTATGGGAGAGCACATGTATTTTTTTTTCCTGTTTTTAAGAAGCATTTAATTTGGATTAAATCCTTCTCTCTAATCCCATGAGGCTTGGTTACAGGTATAATTTTTGTTCTGACTTGCTTTTTAGGTATAAGAAGACCTTCACAAACTTAAAATGGAAAATATCAACCTGAAAGGAACAACAGAAGCTGTGGATATCAGTGACCTCAGAACAGCACCTGAAAGAACTGAACTTGGGCTGAGAGTAAGTAAAACAGAGCAGACCCAGAAGATTATTCAGTTGTTGAGGTCTCTGTCAGTAACTCACTTGGAGCCACTTATTTGTCATCCTGCAGGATCCCTTTCCAATCAGCAAATGATGGGATTCCTCAGACATTACAGTTCAGAACGTTGGCTTCAATTTTTTGGGTCATCAGAATGAATTGATCTTGTGCCCATCAGCCAAAATCAGATTTTTAGTCCAACAGAGACACAAACTCCTTATCAACTTTTCAGTCAAGGGGAGATCTGGTTTGCTGAATTAACCGAGTTAAATTTAATATCCCTCGTACCTTTGTAGTAGTCTAAACGTTATTTTTCCCCCTCTTAACAGAAATGTGCTGAAAATTATTTAAATGCTGTAAGTGGACAAGTGTTACCTGTTTGTTCTGCTGGTAATAAAGAAGTAAATTCAAAAGAGCCCCCTAAATGGTAAGTGAAGCAGCTGTTTTATTGCAGCAAGACACAAAAAATGTAACAGAATTTTGTAAAGCAAGTGGGAGCATTGGCCTGGATGAAGTTAGTTTGGTCACGTGCTATTTTGGTTTCATTTTAAGGTAAAAAAACAATGCAAAAGTAAATGTAGTTCTGAGAAGCTACAGCAGCATTCTGCTAATTGCTGTGGCTTTATTTTTGCTAAATGCAGATGCAAATAAAATAGAGTCTTTTGGATCCAATCAGATGAAAGCAGTATGGGTTTAATAGGTGAAATCAATGTAATTTAAAAAAAACTCACTGTTTTTCTTTCTAAACCAGGGCTCTTCCTTCTGGGGCTTCTCAGAAGCAGCTGGTTTTGCCTCGAGTCCCTGTTGAGCCTGTGACTGTCCAGACATGCAGCAAAGCAGCACCACGTGTGTCTCAAGGTTGCCAGGTCTGAGATAACACCCTAATTATTCTGCCAGAGACCCCATTAAATGAGTAATGTGAGGCATAAGTGACGTTTGCAGGAGTTGGGGTAAAACCAAGTTGCAGCCAAAAAAGCACAGGTGCTGTTTTCACATCCAGACTTGTCATATGGGCAGTAACTTGTCCACAGGTGTCACAATAGGCTTAGAATTACTGTTTAATATTGTTATTTCTGAGTCCTAGCAGCAGCAGGATGAGTCTGCAAACCCAGCTCAGGGGGATTTGGGAAGCACTGTCCCTCTTACCTTTTTTTTTTTCCCTGGCTATGTGGTGGAATTGGTTTTTTTTTCTCCTATTAAAGCCTGGGAACCACAAAGAGGTGTCTTCCACTCCTGCCCTGATCATCTCCCTGTCAGAGAGGGCACTTTGCATTGTGAATCATCTCCTGTTTTAATTGAGAAGGTGCTCAGTTCCCCCCAGTCCTTTTTTAATGGCACCAGCAGTTTCCTCTCTGCAGAACGGTGTGTTACAGTAATAAAATAAATACCACAAAAGCACTGATGAGGTGAAAATTGAACTTTCTGTCTCTGTGCAGCCATGTGGGTAAGAGAGTAATTGGCTTGGATAATAACTTTTGTTCTTACAACCCCAAATCTAAATGAGCATCTCATTGATACATCTGCTTGTAATTACTATCAAAAGAAGATATTGTGCAGATAAATAAATTAAACCATTTAAAGTGCTTTCACAAAGCAATACAATTGTTTAATCGTTCAAATGCACATCTAATGATTCTTGAACTTTTTGTGGCATGTTTTGTTTGTAAAAAGTGGAATTTTCATAGATTTGTTTTTATGTTTATGCAGTAGAATACGAACCAAAACGCTTTCAACTTAAGAAACTTCTGCTGCCATAAAAACATTGGGCATGGCTTTTGGCTTTAATAAATTTCCACAAGTGTGGAAATTTCAGAGCTTGGACTGGAATTAATTGGACAAAGTCTGGCAAAAGTATATCTGTGGGTAGTAGCTGTAATCCTTGTAAAGTTTTCCATTGAGCACTTTTGTTTGCCCAGTGCTGTGTGGAGTCAAATAACATGAATTTTTATCATTATTTTGCAAATTTATTAGACATATTAGACAACTCCTGCTTACAAGCACTGCTGTCCTGGTGCAGTTATTTTAAGATTATGCCTATTCTATATTTCAGCAGCAGGTGGAAATGGATATTAAAATCATGCTTGACCCAGAGAACATGGAAAATAAAGCTGGTTTAAAACATCAGAATGATGAGACCAGGCTGCCACTTATAACTAAGAAAAAATCTGCTCCTGTAAGTAACTTTTATCAATTTATGGGCTTGTTATATGCCTTGCTTTGCACTGTTATAATTAATGTGTATTAAACCTAAAGAAAAGAAATATTTTAAGTGAAAATACCACATAAAGTCCTAATTTTTGGCGTTGATATATAAGGATCAAAACATTTTGAGTGATAATACTGGGAAAAAACAAACCTGCAGTGTAACAGGTTTAGGGCCCAAGATCCCAATCCAGCAAAAGTATAAGTTATACCTGGGAATGTGCCTGGTCAGTAATCTCAGGAAAACCAGGGGGAGGAGATGAGCAAACTGGAGCTTGTGGAGCTTTGGGTATGACCCAAAGATGAGAGCAGAAGTAAAAGGAATTTTATTGCTAAAAATGGCCTTTCGGTTGTTCATTCTCTTGCCATTTCTTAAAATTTTGTAAAGCTGCAAGAACACATTTTGTTTTCCAATAATAACAGGATTGTTGGGAATAAGTGACAAACGCTTTCACTTTGTTTTGATGCTCCTTTTTAGCTGATTTTTGGGTTTTTTTGCAAAAGCAATCCTACCACGAGTGCTGGCCCTGAGCAGAAATCAGTGTCAGAATTTAAAAAATAGGGCTTCTACTGAAGGAGAATCAGAATCCTGCACAAACTTAGGTGTGACATCTTATTTTTCTGATGTGGTTTGGGAGGGAATGTTGAGTTGCACTTCCTGCTGGGAGCACTTTGGAATGTGGGGGACAAATTCAAATCCTTCCTTTCCATGTGGAGATATTTCCATGTCTTGTAGATCTCAAATGTCAACTACAAGTTCTTCTGGAGCACAGCCTTTCTTTTCTATCTGGTCAAGCTGTTTCCCTGGGGGGAACAAGGGATATCAAGCATTTCCACAACCCTCTCCTAGGAGTATCCCAAGTCCTGTCCATCAAATCAACCCTTCTCTCCTCTTCTCTCTGCCCTGGGAACGTTCAAGCTGTGCAAGGTTAAGTTTTGGTTCTTCCAAATTTCTGTTCTGTAACTGCTGCTCCACTTAAATAAACAGTTGAACGTGCAGAGGACATTTTTAGTAAAGTATGCTTTTAGAAAACTAAGTTAATAGGCACAGGCATCCCTCCAAAAATCAATTATGTTCCCAAATTTAGCACAGCACTGTGGTCCACATGCCCAATGGTCTCACATGGGGATGCTCTTCTATGATTTAATTTATGGAATAGAATATCATGCAGCAAGCCCAGTGCTCTCAGAGATATTCTGGGGTGTTTGCTTTTAAACAACATCAAGAGGATCTGTGAATGGCACAGTTGTGAGCTGCCACTTGTAAAAAATGATTTTTTGAAAGCTGTTGCCCAGACTAAGAGGTGATTTGTCTACCCCTGTGATACAGAGTTAATTAGAAAAAAGCATCATGGCTAATAGCTTTTTAGAACCACTCTAAAACACTCACAGAGAGGAATATTATCCTACTGCAGAGAGCCATGTGTTTTACCACTCTCCCTCAAACACTGAGCACAGAAAACTTCTTATTGGTGACTTAAATTACAAGCATTTAGTGGAAATGAGTCAGGCTCCTGGATACATATTTACAGTTGGGCTAAAAATCAAGTAGGTATTTCATCCCCAATTTATTCCATTTAAAATTATTAGATTAATATTGTGATATTATTTATCCTGTTTCCATCCTATGACACGGTGTGGTGTTTTGGAATGTCCTGGGGGTAAAACGTTGCAATTAGGATTTGCAAAATCCTCTGCTGAGATGTGAATTTTTTGTTGAGCACGATCCCCACCAGCACTTTGCAGCAGTGACTGCATATGATATATATGATCATACGTGATATATGTGATGACAAACAGCAACCAACGTGAATCCGCGCGTATCTGCGGGTCTGGCTTTGTTAATTTGTGATGAAATGCAGATTAAAGTCGCTGCAATAATTAAGGCAGGTGGTCCCTGCGCGCTGTTTGCCGTCAGAGGGCGCTGCTCGTACACGCACGTGCCCAGGTGTGTCCCTGAGGTCAAGGAGCAGCTTCCCCAAAAAAAACCAAAAATCACCGGCAAAACGACTCTCGTGGAAGGAAATTAAAAAATCTAATTGCTTGCTTAGCTGCATTCAGGTGTGTTCCGAGAGCTTTGAAGGACACCCCAGCAGTTAAAAACACGGTGAGATTAAAACCACGGCTCTGAGGGGATGAGGGAGGTCGAGCACAAACCTACCTGGACTTTTTATTATCCTGCCCTTGGAGCAGTTTGATAAATTATTAGTAACGAGCTCATTGTTTCACAAGAAATGTCTTCTTTTCTTGCTCTTTTGGTATTATAAAGTTGCTGATGCTGAGTTTTATCATAGAAACTAAGAACAATTAACTGTTGCCCTTTTGTGCCTTTTTGGGTCTGATTATAAAGCCTCATTCTCTGTAAAGTTCTGGAGTTATTTTAAAAGGAGGGCTGTAATTCTGTCTGCCCACAGACTGGGCATCACTTTATTTTGCAGCCTATGTGTGGGTAACAAAAGAAAAATGATGAGTGGGTAATTATTAAATATGTATACTTCCTATGGAGCACCCAGCAAAAGGAGCAGTAATCTGAATTGCAGCAAAAATAATTCTGACATCCTGCTGCAGTGTGGGGAAGATTCACAGCTCCACCTTTCATTTTCAGAGGACTGCTGTTCTCTTATAGAATTATGCTGGCACATTTTGGTCCTTGTTTTCTTATAAATGTATATTATACTGTAAACTGAGGAATATTTTCATTTATTCATGAGGTGGAATTTAATATGGTGATGATTTCTAGCCTTTATGAGTTGCATCTTACCTAGTGTGACTGTAATGGTGATGGCAGTGATTCTGGGGGGGGGATTTTAAGCTGACTTGTTTGAGCCCAACCATACTAATCATATCCTCAATTATTCATTCTTTATTCACTGTTTGCATCCTTGCTTCTCCCTGGAAGTGTATTTATTTCCAAGATCATAAAGCAAGGGCAATTCCTTTCGTTTCAAAAGAAGCTGTAGAAGAAAATGAGGTCTTTTGGTGCTCCAAACCTGGTTGTGTTTTAAACCTCTACATATGGCCATAATTACAGCCAAGGCAGAGTTTGGCAGGGGGAGCAGAATGAGACTTAAACAAATGGATGTTCCACTGCAGTAAATCAAAATAAGCTGGTTGGGTTTGTATTACGGTGTGTAATCATAATAAGCAGCCCAGTGATTTAATAAAAATCCCCTTGTCACTAAAAATAAAAAGGGAATAATTGGAGAGAGGGAGTTAACAGATGACTCCAGTCAGCATCCTCTCAGCCTGCAAACGGGGACGTGAAGGTCACCCCCATCTCGGCTGACAAACGGAGAGAACGTTTTGTTGGTAAACAAATTAATCTTTGCAAAGGTCACCATTTGTTTGAAGTTTTTCTCCAGTTCTTGTCAGCTGGAATTGGAGATTGACTGTCACTTTGCAAGGCAGGGGTGCAGCCAGAGCTGCTGAAGCTGGTGCTGTTCGGGATCAGCATTCCCTGACAAACCCAGAGCCTGATTGGGATGCCATGGGCTGCTGCTTTCCAGCTGTCTCTGGACAGGGATGGACCCATCCCTGAATCCCAATAAGTTGTTCCTGCCTATCCCCCCTTGTGGATCTGGCCCTTTGCCACGAGGAAAATGTAGAGGGGTTCAAGCCAGCAATTATCTTTCTCACTTCCTTCTGTGCTGCTTCTGTTGCCTTTGCAAGAAGCAGATGTGGGATTCTCCAAAGTTCTCCAGCTATTCTCCTTCACACCTGTTAGGGTGGAATTTTGATGGAGGTGGTTTTCTGGGAGAGCTCCTGGTAGGTCATGAAGGGAGACAAGCTTGATTTTTCCGAGCACATGGAAAATTGACAGCTCAGACCCATCTCTGGTAGCTTTAAGAGCTTAAAGTAGGCAAGAATAACATAAGACCTGATGCAATTTCCAGTTTTTTTCCAATTAAACTTGCCTTCCACAAACTCTTCCCTGACAGCATATTGAAAATTGCCCTTAGTTCTATTCATTTTGTTTTGCTGAGCTTCCTCCTTCCCTTTAGAGTGGGAAGCACTGTGTCCATCAAACCTTGCCAGGAGCTTCTTGACAAGAAATATGGGGGTAGATGGCAGTTTGGAGGAGATAAATGGAAGGATAAATTACTCTGTTATAAACCTTTTTTACCATCACTATCAAGCCCTGTGATTTTCTGCTATTTGCTTATCAAATCTCATCTATCTAATTGTCCTGGTTGATAAACTGTAGTTTTGACACACAATACTTGTATTTTCTGTGTATTTAATACTTGTTTCTATTCTGGGTGAAAAATACACTTATAAAGATATTTACCCCTCCCCCCAAAAAAAAAGACATTGTTCTAGTTAAATATTGCTGGGTAAAAAGAAAACAAATAGAGAACTAATCAGAAAATCCCTGTGGTGTTCCAACAAGTGCCCTATTTAAAATGAAGCAAAAAAAGAAAAAATAAAGTGGGAGAGGTTTATCCACAGGAGAAAAACACTTTAGAAAGGGTAATAGAATTGTTTTTCTCGTGTCCCAGGTTAATTACACTCAGAAGCACTTGAAATGAAAAAATAGTTTTTCAGCACACTCCAAGCATATTTTAAGGCAAGTCAGCCTTAGTTTGCCCTGCAAATGAAGTGCTCCCTTCCAGCCCTATAAAACTGAGCTTTAAAAGTGCCCAGGATGGAGCAGTGATGCCAAAAGTAAAACCTTAATATTATTTTTTGGGGTCTTATTGTTGTAATTTCATGGGCTTCAGTTGAGTGAAAGTAAGTGCCAGAATTAAAGCAGTTTGTCACCTTTTGCTTTGATATCTCAGTGAATTCTTCCAGAGGGCAGCTAATGGAGCAATCAGGGTGCTGGAAGAGCAGGGAAAGGGGTGGAAATTGGGTGGAATTTTGGTGGGGAGCTGTTCTGGGTCAGCTCCATGTTGCCTGTAATACATGAGGAGGTGGATCATGGCACTGGGCAGTGTAAATGAGTGATTAAATTACATTTTAGTTGCATCAATCCTTGTTTTAATATGACACCTGCCGTGGACTTTATAGAAATTAAAGAAGAATTAAATCTGTCTCCAGTTAAAAAAACCCCCAAGCCTCCAGGCTGCTTTTGAACTCACGCACTCCACCTGAATTGCTTTTCTTTTGTAGCTTATTACATCTCTAGAAACACAATTAAAATATATATATATGTGCTGTTTATCATAACAAAACTCCTGGGACTTAAATTAGGATAAAACCAGTAGTAAAACCAGGGCTGCTTTAAGGAGTCACTTTAATTAAATTTCTTTCCTTTCATATATTTTTGTGGTGTCCTCAACAAACTGCTGGGCTGAGTGTGAGTAGGAAAGTGTGCTTTATAATCTCTTTTCCTCAGTATCAAACCACTTATTTGCCAGCTGGTGTAAAGTTAATCTTTGTTGTGTGTTTATTGCTGTTTTCTTGGAACACAAGGACATGAAGATTTATCCATCTTGATCCCTTAAAGCATAATGGTCTGTAATGGCCAGAACTGAAATGAGTGCCTGGAAGATTCTCTATTATGATAAAAAGTACATGTTTTCTCTCTCCCTGCTGTCTCTTGTGGGCAGTGTTATTATACAAATTGGGAGGAAAAATTAGAATAGTTAATTTTGATCTGTCTCATTTCCCTGCCAGGATTAGAAGCAGCTCTTTAGAATTTCTTCTCCCTTTCTAGAGAGTTGATGGTTGATATTATTCAGTAATTGTGACACAATAGTGCTCAAAGATCCCAATCATGGCCTGGATTGTACTAAAAACTTAATAATCAGTCATTAAAAGCTAATATTTTAAGGCAGAAAGCCCCAATGTGCTCTGGTAGAGCTAAATACCAGTATTCCCACTTTGCAGATCTGTTAATATTTCCCAGCTTTCTGATTTGATCCATTTATTATTATTATTATTATTATTATTTATTTATCCATTTATTTATTTATTTATTTCAGGCAGTTAATTATTCATAATGAAATAATTTCTTAAAAAAGCAAATAAACAATTTTCCAGCACGTGGCATCAGGTCATCAGTAGAGTTCAACCATTTCTATCCAATGTTCCTTTTTCCTTTTCCTTCTGGTACCTTGCCCAAGTGTGCATTTTATATATTTAAAGGCTGTTTTGTCAAGAAACACCATGTTTACACTATATTCATTAAAATTAAGCAAACTTCTTGTGATTTTTAGTATCTAGTGCACTGATTTTTGCATAGCAAAAGTCACAGGACATCAACTGAATTTAATTAACTTTATTATAAATTTCTGAAGTAACAACAGTAGATGATACTGTGGCATGTTCATAAGTAGTAAAAGTTGTTAAATCTTAATGAAACCACTCATAGCAGAAATTATATTTATTATTTATTACTGTGGGAGTGGAGGAGTGTAGCTCTGTAAATGCCAGATTTCCCTTTGTTAAAAGGAGTTCTGTTTTCCTTCCCAGATGTGCAGTCAGAAGACAGGGAAGGGCCACACAGTTGCCACCCTTTGGGGTTTCCCTGCCTTTCCACCCCTGGATTCTCCCTTACCCCTGCTGGAAGAGGACACCCCAAAAGGTGGGTCACACAAGCCCCTCTGTGGGTGCTGTGGCCACCAGGTATGAGCTGCATGAGCAGAGTTGATGTTTGCAGCAGGTATGTGGTAAGTGAATTTTCTGGCACCTCAAAACTTGTAAGAATTGGGATCTCAAACATCACAAAGGCTCAACTTCAGGCTCCTCACTCCACAGAGGAGCTGCTGTAGGACACGGTGTGTGTTGTGTTGAGCATCAGCCTGAGTCAGTTCTGCTAATTCAGAGGGTTCAGTTGCTGCTGGAGAGAAGAACTGTGTGTGATGAAGGTTCTTGACTGACCAAATAAGTCAAATGATCGTGATTAACATCTGGTTATTAATCATTCAGTCTTAACTAGACCTGCACTTGCACTGTTTTAGCCATCAGTGCCTAGTCATGGTTCCCTTGTGTTTCCAAGAGTTCATTCTCAGCCATTCTGCATTTTAACTTGCATTGCCCAAGCATATAATTATATATACACAAGCATAGAATTCCCTTTCAGAATCAGCACTGTTAGAGTATCTCTCATGTATTTGTCAATTTTTATAGGCAAAGCTCACCTTCCTTGAAGGTAAAATATTGAATATTGAAAGGTATGAATCTTTCAGTTAAAGAAAACTGCTGCTTTTGTAGTTTTGATGTAGAACTTGGCTGTGCCTTTGTTTAATTCTTTCTTCATTGCTACTAATTGATTTTCTTTCATAGCTGGAATACACATGAATTGTTCAGGAATGTCATTTTCTTGTAGGTGCTCTGAGCCTAACTGGCCAAAGGCTTATCCTTCCAGCAGCAAAGGTAACTCTGCAGACCCCTCCTGTTGTATCCAAGGCAGCACCTTCCCAGGAATTTCCCAGGCAGCACAAGAAATCAGCTGTAGGTGAGTACAAACATCCAACAACCATCACTTGCATCTCCAACTTCACTCCCAGGCCCTTATTTTATCTCCTGAGAAAGGAGCTGCCCAATGAGCACTCCCTCAAATTCCCAAGTGCACAAAGATGTCCGTGAGCATCCTGTGTCTTGCAGCTGAACAGGAATCAGAGTTCTGAATTCCTGTGAGGATTTTGGTTCCTGTTCATTTCTGGAATCCTTGTGTGGGTTCCAAGTTTCAACTTGTGAGCACCTGACTCAAGCTCTGACCGTTGGTGTCATGTAAAGGCAGAGTTCCTGCAAATCAGGACTTTGAGCAGCTGATCCAGCCTCTCTTTTGCCACATGATTAAATGAATTACTGACAATTAATGAATGAGACTTGCCATCAATGTTTTCCTTTGTACAGGAGAGGTTAGCAGTAGGCTGGACCCTGAGAATACAGATACCACCACCTTCCCAAACTCCAAGGAAGGAATTTATGGCACATATTCCTCTAGCAAAGGTAACATTGCACCACTTCCATCCAGCAGCTCTGTGGTTTCAGCAAGGAAATCAAAGCCAGTGTGGACATATCCAGCTCAGCAGTTGGAATCTGAGGGGCAGATTCCCTCTCAGACACAGGTATTTGATTAAATTGATCACTCAGACACTGAGGATAACAAGGTTTTTATTCATGTTTTTAATACTGTCTTCACCACAGCTGGTTTAGGAAGTGACTGTAAATCACTGAATTGGTACAGGAGGGTTTGAACCAAATCCAGAAAATAGGAACTAAAATAAGAAATACTTCATGTATTACCTATTTCTACTTTCTCAAGACTTCTACCTAAATTTGTCTAGGTTTTTTGGGTTTTTTTTCACATCTTAGAAAACCAAGATTTCACGATCTCAAAAAATAAGTTTAGAAAGGATGTGATGAGGTTATCCAGATCTCCAGGCAGAATTACCTGTACCTGTAATATTGCAGACAGATGTTTTTCTAACCTGTTCTGAAAACTTTGGGTGATAGCAACTCCACAGCCTCCCTAGACCATCTGTTCCAGTGCTTAACTAACTGTCTTTACTGTTATAAAAGAGTTTTTTAATGTTTCATCTAAATCCCCCTCACTGCAGGTAAGCAAATGTAGTGTTTCCCTCCATATTTACAGAACACTGTAGGGGAGTTTGACCTTGACTGCTCAGTGCCTGATGATTGTTCTTGATCCTCATGGAAAAGGGGCACTTCTTCCTTTTTATGGCTAATTATTGTGTTTTGGAACAAACACAATATTCTCGAGTTTTGCTTGATCTTCCCAGACTTTTTGACTTTTGTGCCATTGAGATGTGAAAAGGAAAAAGATTTGAAAATCAAAGGAAAAGCAAACCTGAGAAATGGAGATTGTGGAATCCTACAATGGTTTGGGTTGAGAGGGACCTTAAATCCCATCCAGTGCCACCCCCTGCCTCGGGCAGGGACACCTTCTGCTATCCCAGCTTGCTCCAAGTTGATCCAACTGGCCTTGGACACTTCCAGGGCTGGGGCAGCCACAGCTTCTCTGGGAAATCCATTCCAGCACCTCACCACCCTCACAGGGAAGGATTTCTATCAATGACATGTTAATGTAAATAAAAATAATTCCCTAAAAACGGTGTAAAAATAGTGCACTTAGACTAAAAATCAAAGCTAATGAGTTGCTGGCTAAATCAGCCAGTAAATAAGGAGTTCTTTTAAAAGGTGTGAATATTTCTATTCCAAGT